TCTAGTAAGTCCATACAAATGTTTGCTGTAATTTTTGTTTTGTTTTGGATTTTTGAGACAGGGTTTCTCTGTAGTTTTTGGTGACTGTCCTGGAACTAGCTCTTGTAGACCAGGCTGGCCTCGAATTCACAGAGATCCGCCTGCCTCTGCCTCCCAAGTGTTGAGATTAAAGGTGTGTGCCACTACTGCCTGGCAAAATGAATTTTCCTAATACTCTTTTCTTCCCTCCCACTTCAGAATGAAGTCACATTACTACGAAATGAAGTGGCTCAGTTGAAGCAGCTTTTGTTAGCTCATAAAGACTGCCCTGTCACTGCACTACAGAAAAAAACTCAAGGCTATCTAGGTGAGTGGTTCACAACCTAAGCAAACCAGTCAGTTGGTAACCACAGGAATTGAGTGTCCTGGCTGCTTATAATGCCATTTTTTATGGCATATCAGTCCTGCCCAAAAATATATTGGTAGATAGATAGATAGATAGATAGATTTTTTTTCCTTATCTATAATCCTAACAAGCAAGAGGGTCAGTTCGAGGTCCTCAATTATAGCCGAAGGGTTAGGCAAGCCTGAGCTACATGAAATTTTCTTCAAGTAAACAAATAAAAAAATCAAGCTTTGAGTATAGTGCTAAGTTATCCTAATTATCTATAATAGTTGGAGAGAAAGAGTAGCAATATTTTGGGGCCCGTTTTATCTAAGTGCCCTGCCATCTTCACAGTTCTACCATGAAGCAGCCATTCCACTTTTAAGAAAACTCAGGCCATGTCGCACACAGTACACAGTGGTAGAGGTCTTCTGGTCCCAGAGACCACCCTGGTCTGGAGAAGAGGTGAACCGCTGACAGCGCCTGGGGAGTGAAGAATGGGCTGCAGGGCGGATTTCAGTGTGTGCTCACTTAGCACTACTAGAAAGTAATATCACAATGAATCGTTATGGATAATAAAAATTTAAAACTGCTAATTTTCCTTTACAGATTAAATAAATGCAAAGAAATATTGGATATAGCAGGTAGTTTTTCCACTAGTTGTCTTTATCATTTCAGAAATGTATTCTGAGGAAAATTTTAAGAATCTTTATTGAATTATTTATTTAAATTTTAATATGTACTTCAGGGTGCAATGACTTGTTAAGCAGGTACTGACTGAGTTCCTGTTCTGTGCCAAGCACATACTGGGAATAACAGGAACCAAACAGATCAGGTTAGATCCCTGTCCTGAAAAGCATGTATTTTAGTAGGTAAGATAATTAAAAGAAATAAGTGAAATATGTGGTATATAGTAAATGTAAAAACAAAAAATAATACAGCTGGGGACTAGAGAGATTGTTCAATGGGTAAGACCATTTACTGCTCTTGCAGAAGACCTGGGTTCAGTTTCCAACACTCACGTGGCAGCTCATAACTGCTTGTGACTCCAGTTCTAGTTGATCTGACGCCTTCTTTTGTATGTCTCAGGCACCAAGCATATACATGGTTTATGGACATACATGTAGCTTTAGTTGTCTTTGAACTCTCTATGTAGACCAGGCTGGCCTTGAACTCAGATATCTGCCTGACTCTGCCTCCAAAGTGTTGGGATTAAAAGCAAAACAACTATACCTGGCATAAATCTTAAAATACTAACAACAATAATAATATAGCTGGAAATAGTACTACAGGAATGTAATCCCACTACCAAGGAGGCTGGGATAGGAAGATCATAAATTCAAAGCCATCCTGAGCTATACAGTGAGAAGCCTTGTCTCAAAAACACAAAGAAAGAAGGGAAGGAAGGGTAAGGCACTGTGGTCCACACCTGTAGTCCCAGGACTCCGAAGGCAGAGGTGGGAAGAGTACTGCAAGTTCAAGGCCAACCTGATCTACAGTGGGAGTTCCAGGTCAGCCAGAGATGCATAGTGAGCCCTGCCTCAAATACAAAGAGGCTGGTGTGGCTGGATGGGCAGTATCACTGGAGTGAGATGGGGAGCGGTCTTGGTATAACAGGGGCTTCAGCTTTTATTGCAGACAGTGAAGGTGCGACTAGAAGAGTCTGATACTCTGCTAGAAACATCAGGGTGCATAGGCAGTCTACCTAGGTCAGCTGTTGAGATGTTCATGGGCTAAGGAGGAAACTCTGACTAGTAGTTAGTCCACTAACGTACTTATTTATTACAACAAAGATGTGTTTAATTACTACTTTGTGGCATCCACATTATATGGGTACTTGACATAAGATAAGGCATTGTCCCTACCTTTCAGAGACTCATTGGGCCATTGTGAACCTGTAAATGAGGTAAGGACAGATAGCCTACTATATGGGCCCTGGATTGGGAGCTTCTGCTGTATACTGAAGGATGCTCAGTAAATGCCTGATGACTGAATGACTGTGTGCTCTGAAAGCACAGCGCAGTTTCCTGGGTAATAAGGAACTGTTTACAGAGGACGCAATATTGTAATTCTCTTGAATCCATTTGAACAGTGACTCAGGCATTCATCAGAGACACCCCAAACCCAGACATAGTGGGACACAGCTATAATTAGAACTCTTGGGAAGCGGAAGCAAGATTGGGAGTTTGAGGCCTGCTTGGGCTACATGAGACAATGTCACCAAAAAAAAACAAAACAAAACAAAAAAAAATTTACTTACTGGAAATTTTCCACAATTTCTTATATATGTTTAGGCAGGTATAAAAACTAACATTTAATAAAACCCCTTGATCAGTTGCTATACTCTGTATACAGCTCAGATGCTGTGTGCAGGGTCAGTGTAGGTGGAATAGTACAGCCCACACAGATACTTTGCTGATTGATAGGAGACGCTGCAAACGTTTGTGCGTACATGTTAGCTGAGTCTCGGCTGCTCACAGCATCACTGAATTGTGATTGGTGTTTAGCAGGCTTAGGGGTAGTGTCAACTACATGCTACAGGAATGGTTTTTAAAAATGGAATGATTAAACCATTCGTAGACGACCTGCTTCTGGGTCGGGGTTTCGTACGTAGCAGAGCAGCTCCCTCGCTGAGATCTGTTGAGAGTCAGCCTTGGACACAAGGGTTTAAACATTCATAAAAATGGAATGATTTTATTCTTTTGAGAATTAATGACAGCAGATTAAGGAATCTATTAAATGCAGGTAAAGGCATTTGATGCCTAGCCTGATGACCTGAGTTCAATCTCAAAAACCCACATGGTGGAAGGAGAGAACAGATTCCTAAAGACCTCCACATGCATGCTTTGATGTGTGTGACCATACTTATAATGAGCATGTAGATACACAAAATAATGTAAAATCTTAAAAAGAAATGCAAGAGAGATTCATTTTCTTCTATAAACAGAACAAGTTCAAAGATAATTTCAGATAATTCAGAATACTTATAGTTTCTCCTCACTAAACACGATTTGTTAGCCAGGCAGTAGTGATGCACACCTTTAATCCCAGCATTTGGGAGGCAGAAGCTGGTGAACCTGCTAGTTTGAGGCCAGCCTGGTCTACAGAGAGATTTCCAGGACAGCTAGGGCTACACAGAGAAACTGTCTCAGGAGGGGAAAAAAGTTATTTGTTGATTTCTGTAGCCAGTGGACCCACGTCCCTTTAAAAGTTTTTCTTGAGGGGCTGGCAAGATGGCTCAGTGGTTAAGAGCACTGACTGCTCTTCCAGAGGTCCTGAGTTCAATTCCCAGCAACCACATGGCTCACAGCCATCTGTAATGAGATCTGGTGCCCTCTTCTGGTGTGCAGGTGTATATGGAAGAAAAATTTGCAGGCAAATGAATGGATCTAGAAAAAGCCGTATTGAGTGAGGTAACCCAGACCTAGAAAGACAAATATCATCTGTACTCACTCATAAGTGGCTTGTAGATATAAAACAAAGAAAAACCAACCTGCAGTCTACAACCCCAGAGAACCAAGACAACAAAGAGGACCCTAAGAAAGACATACATAAATCTACATAGGAAGGAGAAAAAGACAAGCTCTCCTGAGTAAATTGGGGACATGAGGATCACAGGAGAGGGTGAAAGGGGAGGGGGAGGAAGGGAGGGGAGCAGAGAAGAATGTATAACTCAATAAATACAATTATATATATTTGGTTTTTTGAGACAGGGTTTCTCTGTGGTTTGGGAGCCTGTCCTGGAACTAGCTCTTGTAGACCAGGCTGGTCTTGAACTCACAGAGATCCACCTGTCTCTGCCTCCCAAGTGCTGGGATTAAAGGCGTGCGCCACCACTGCCCTGCTTTATATATATTTTTTAAAGTTTTTTTTTTTTTTTTTAGGAAACAAGTGGCTTTCACTTTGGTACTAGATAAGGACAGGCTTTATAAAAGAGCTTTTGCCCACCTAGGAGTGAAAATACAAGAGCTGCCTTCATCCTAGAGCTTTAAGTGTGATGCTGTGCCCAGCTTTGGCTCAGTTCTTGCTTCTTCTTTTTTTTAATATTTATTTATTATGTATACAATATTCTGTCTTGTTTGTCTGCCTGAAGGCCAGAAGAGGGCACCAGATCTCATTTCAGATGGTTGTGAGCCACCATGTGGTTGCTGGGAATTGAACTCAGGACCTCTGGAAGAGCAGTCAGTGCTCTTAACCACTGAGCCATCTCTCCAGTCCCCCCGTTCTTGCTTCTTGTATCTTTTGTTCTCTAGGTCATTTCATGCTTGAGATCAGGATTCTGGAGTCTTCTCCAAAAAGAAATATGAGATTCATTTTCCTTTGTATTCTTTGTAATTATGCTCTCTGTTCCTCTGTCCTGATTTCTGACCACTTGCTCTCCACTGTTTGCCCTCCTTCTTGGCAGAGAGTCCCAAGGAAAGCTCAGAGCCAACGGGTTCTCCAGCCCCAGTGATTCAGCACAGTTCTGCAACAGCCCCTAGCAATGGCCTTAGTGTTCGATCTGCAGCTGAAGCTGTGGCCACCTCGGTCCTCACTCAGATGGCCAGCCAAAGGACAGAACTGAGCATGCCCATACAGTCGCATGTGATCATGACTCCACAGTCACAGTCTGCGGGCAGATGATGCCTCCCATGATGGAGAAATCCCCAGCCAGAGCTCGCCCGCCTGAGCCAAGAGAGAGATCAACTTACCGCTCCCATCTGCCTTAGATGTGGCAGTATGGGAGAGGGAGAGATTGTGTGTTGTGAGTATGGACAGATGTGGGGCTTTTCTCTTTAGCCACATGAACATGTACGCTGACACCTGTACTAGGGCTTCTGGCCCCAAAGCCACACAGATCATCCCCCAAGGGTGGGGTTTCTTATGTACCTACAGCCAAAGGCCTTTCCATATGGTCCGAGCAATCATCCCCAGCCCTGATGCATGTGTACCTGTCTTTTAACACTAACCCTTGCACTTGTAGGTTTGGGGTTTCTCAGTGTCCTCTACTCCCATTGAGCTGTGGCTGTTACCTTCTTATTCCTTACTAGCATGCCACTTCCTGCCAGATAGAGGGAGACGAGATTCAATGGCGTGTTGCTTTGCTGTCCAGCCCCAGCCACCCCATGCACTCAGGACTTTGTCTCCCCATAGCTGCTTATTTATCTCTTCCCCTTCCTAAACTGCAGTGAAGCATTCACTTACTGAGAATGTATGAAGCAGCAGTATCTTCACCTCTTCATGTGCTCTATTCCTTATTCCTATCTGCTACCAAAAACAAACACAAACAAAAAAAGCAAAACTCTGAATGTTTGAATAATTTTTCATTTCCAAATCTATTGGGTACCTCATTTTGTCTCTTGACTTTCCTTGGTCGAATGGTGGGGTTTTTCCTACTTCCCCACCATGCGTTGGGAACCTCATCTTGTGGCCTTATTGTTAGTGGCAATGAAAAGGAGAGAGCCTGGGATCTAACGGGGCTTCCCTGTCTCCTTCCCTACCTTCCCGTTCTAATCAGGGCAGACAGGAACAGTGTAACTTAAAACTTGTTCCATCAGGTTACTGGATTAACTAATTCTTTTATGTTTTATAACAGCTTACTGTCTAACATCTGCATATTATCATCTTTGGTCATCTGTGGGCTCCTTCCTCTCCTCTTTGTTCCCCGGCCCACATCACTCCTTTCGATCAGCCTCCTGCAAGTCATCAGACAGGAGCTGCTTTCACTCTCTGTTCCTCATTTCCCGCACAGCTCTCAGTTTCCCTTCTTTTCTACAATATGACTTGTGTCCACCAGTGTCCATCACCCTTGTCTTCCCTACCTTCTCTCAGCAGGGTCCTGGCCTAGCTACTAGGTGTCTCTAGTCATAAAATTTCTTTGAACTCGGTTTTTTGTTCTCTGCCCCTCAAATGTAGTGTTTGTCCGAGCTCTGAAACATTGTGGCCAAGGTCCTGAGTGGCTTATGAGTGTAAGAGTGAGTGTAGAGAGAACAGGAAAGTGTGTCATCTCAGCAGAGTGCTCAGGACACGGACTGTCTGTCTGGGAGATTGGTGAGTGTGGCTATTGGCTACTGTTATTTGGTGGGCTCCAGGGAAAGAAATGCACCCTTCCTCTTTCTCATCTTTCCTTGGCTCTGAACTGTGCAGTCTCTTTCAGAGCCAGAGCCCTGTGGATAGATAGGTCAGCTTTAATAGCTTTTGAGTAGAAAACCCTCCCGGCTGTACCAGAGCCACCTTCTGCCATCTGCTCCACCAAAGAGTCTTCTTTGCTGCCTCCATCTTAAATGTACAGAATACCTGCTTGCTTCCTTTTTTATTTTAGCTCCCAAAATTTATTGTCATGGAGGAAAGAGAAAATGTTCTACTTTATATGATTATTTCCTCAGAGTTTAGATTAGTGAGCCCATCCTGTAACATGTTCTGCTGCATTGTATCTAAGTTTTCCCTCCTCCTCTTTAGAGTCAGTGCTGAACAAGCCACACCCAGTGGGAGGGAAAACAAAACAAAACAGGAGATGGCTTTCTCATCCTCTACCACCAGGGACTCAACAGGAACAGCCCCTGAGGTGACAAGGCTAGCAAAGGCCACCAGATGGTCAGGGGCAGGGTATTGTCTCCAGGGATTTCACCTGGCTTTAGAAACTCAGAGCTGTGTTTGTGTTAAGGGCTTCTTTAGATGGCTGCTTCCTGGGATTTGTTTTTCCTGTTTATAAATTTTGTTTCTTTTTTGTTTTTGTTTTTTCAAGACAGGGTTTCTCTGTGTAGCCCTGGCTGTCCTGGAACTCACTCTGTAGATCAGGCTGGCCTGGAACTCACAGAGATCCAGCTGCCTCTGCTTTCCGAGTGGTGGGATTAAAGGTGTGTGCCACCACTGCCAAGCATCTTTTTTTTTTTTTTTTCTGTCTTCCCACTAGCGGCCTTGCACTAAAGCATGTCTGAGTTTGTGGCTCCCAAGGAGCCTTCATAGACTTGGCTGTTTTTCTTACCCCATCAATCAAGGATTTTGTTTTTCTTTTGGTTTTTCAAAACAGGATTTCTCTGTAGCTTTGGTGCCTGTCCTGGAACAGGCTGGCCTCAAACTCACAAAGATCCATCCGCCTGTGCCTCCCAAACGCTGGAATTAAAGGCGTGTGCCACCACAGCCCGGCTCAGTCAAAGGTTTTTAAAGTTATGAACCGGTGCCACTTCATCCATACCCTGCCAGTCTAGTCTGCCCCTGTGTGGATATCTAGTATACAAGGACTCTCCAGTCTTTGTTTCCATAGCAGGAAGTCAGCGTTAGGCCCACAGAACTGCAGTAGGGAGGCAGCACTGAAGCCTCTGTAGTTGGTTCTCTAAGAAAGCAGAGCAGCAGCTTACAGTGAAGCTTCTCTTATAGTCAAGGGGTTGTCACCTACAGTATTGCTGCCAGTGGTCACTACCTTGGCCTTTGCCTTCCAGACTTACCTGAACCAGAACCAGCTGTCATACAGCTATCATACACCCATCTTGACATCCTATGATGTGTCATAGAAGAGTCTTTGGTGTTCTGTATGCTTCTTGTATTTGGATATCAATTTCTATCTTTAGGTTTAGGATAGTTTGTGCTATAATTTCATTAAATAATTTGATTGATCCTTTTGAATTTATCTCAGGTCCTCCTCCTTCTACCCCATGGGTTCTGAGGTTTGTTTGATCTTCTGAATATATCCCAAGCTTTCTGAAAATGCTGCTCATGTTAATTTTATAAACATGTGTGCATGCATATGTGTGAGTCTGTCTGAGTATATTGTTGTCCCAACTCTGTCCTGCATTCCCGAACTCTTTGATCTTATAGCTTGGTGATGCTTTCTGGCTAGGTTTTTCAGTTGTTTCACATTGGTTTCTGTGTGGTTCCTTTTCCATGTTTGAATGCCCTCACAAAAATTTCCCTCCATGTTTCTGACTTTCTCCTCCAGCTTACCCACTATCTTATTCACTTTGGAGGTTTTGTATACAATTCCTTAGTCCATTCATGTGTATTTGAGACTTCTATACAGTCATTCATCCTTTTTAAGAATGAAACTCCAAATCCTTTCTCCAACATTTCAGCCATCTCAGGACTTTGAGTTTCCATTAAGGAAAAGTTTGGAATATGTCCTGGTGGGTTGTTGTCTCATAATATTTGTGTTTCTCTGTGGTGTTTTATGCATCAGTCGAGATGGAGCTATCCTCCAATTTTAACTCATCCTTTTCCAACTCCGTTGTTTTGCATAAGTCCACTGAGCCCTTCTTAAGAACCTATCAGGAGGGAGCTGAGAATGTGATATCTGAGGACTCTTCTGAGCGACCCCACTCCTACATGATAAAGCTTGTTCAGAGCTGGGAAGGCACCCAAGGAGAACTAGAAAGGACACGGCTCCTTCCTCTCCTCCTGTCCAAGGCTGTAAGCCCCAGACCACATACTACAGGGAGCTGGGCTGGTGAACCTCGCCTTGCCACCTTCTTCCCTCTCCCAATCTGTAGCTCTTGACTCCCTTTCTTGGTTCACTTCCATCTCCTCAGCGGCCTGCCCTCCAGCACCGTCATCCTGAGAGACTGAGTGTTTCACAGCCTGAGTCACTGAAAGACACGTGCACACAAGAGTTTTCCTTTGGCTTCTGAGAGAGGCTCCTTAAAGGTGCTAACTCCTGAGATTACTCTCCCCAGTTTGTCCCTTTCATAGCTTTCTTCCCATCCCCAGATCACATTTCCATTAATATTATCTCTTATGTCCACAAAAAAAGAAATGCATTATAATCAGTCTGTTTAACTCTAGTCTTCCTGCTGTGTGCTCTTCCTCTTTCTTTAGCTATGTTTGTCCAGAGTGAGAGGTGTGAGGACCTGAGGCCTGCTGAAGACCCCAGCCCTCTACAGTCCATCTAGACATTGTTAAAACATTGTTTGTCTCTGTACACATGAATGTGCACAGACAAATCCTCCTACTCTGGCCGGAGTAGTGACCCCACAGGAATGAGCACAGTGCTGCTGGCCAACATCTCCACCCTCTGCACTGTCACTTAGAGGTAAAACCAACCCCAGGATGAACAAGGCTGGTGAGAACAGGGCAGGCTGTGTCCTTGTAGGTACAAGCTAGAAGGTGTTTTCTTTGGTTTTTCTTTTGTTTTTTTAATGTGAGCTCTAGTTTCGCTGGCTTTACCTTAGGGCAGTCCCAGAGCAGTATCAGCAGCACCATCATCTGAAGCTTGCTAGAAATGCGCACTCTTGGCCATCCCTGCCTCCTGAGCTGAGCACTCTGTGCTTCTAGTACACACTAATGCATGAGTCCCTTGGGGACAAGGATTACTTTAAATGTGTCCTCTGCCTTAGCCTTGACTTCTCATTTCCCCTGAGTCCCCCTTCCACCCCCACATCACTCAGCCCAGTTCTAGGCTTTCTTTCTTCTAGTCTTAGCTCTAAAACCTTTTCCTACATTGTTCTTGGCAGGACTTACCCATATTTCCTTGCAGGCTTCTTGCTCTGCATTTTCGGTTACATTAAGAGCCAGCAGGAAAGCCGGGAGTGGTGCAGCCTTTGATCCCAGCACTTGGGAGGCAGAGGCAGGCAGATTTTTGAGTTCAGGGCCAACCTGGTCTACATAGAGAGTTCAAAGCCAACCAGAGTACACAGAGAGACTCTGTCTCAAAATAGACAACAAAATCAGCAGGAGCCATAGTTGTCCAATTTCACACACACACACACACCCCTCTTGCAGGCAGGGATATTAGCCTCCATCCCACAGTGGAGCCTGCTACACCCTGATAGAATATCTCTTGAGAAGAGAGAAATGTGTATCTATGAATATATCTCTGTTCACCTATATATTTTTGACATGTAGCAATACCTGTCCATCCTGAAGGAGCTTGACCCAGTCCGGGTCCCCAGGCTCCAGTGGTAGGCCTCACAGGTGGGAGGGTCCAGTGCTACGGGCTGTTTTGTTACAAAACTGTCTTTTCTCCTTTCCTTCCACCCAGTTCAGCATGAACCCTGTGAGCAGGCTCTCACAATCTCCTGGGGCGGGGCTGAGGCAGGGGCTTTGAGCTCACCTCCCTAACCGTCCTGTCCTACTTCCCCCAAGCCATGTAGTAGTTATCACCCAGTCTTGCCTTCTCCCTCAGTCCTTCGCCCTGACATATACTGTGCCTTATTTATGCTGCAAATACAACATTAAACTATCGAGAGAGTCAATGGTGTGTTTGGTGCTTCCTGCTCAAGCCCATGAGGCCCGCTGCCCACTCCTGCAGACTCATGGGGCTTTCATGTCTGATTATCCTTTCCCTTCAGTTTCTTAGGGCAGAAAGAGCACAGTTCTCATCTCTGCTTTATGTAAGTAACATGGTGTTCATCACCAGAATCCTGACTGGAGAACTTAGTGTGTGCTTCATGTAAATAGGAAATGGGATTGCCTTAGGAACAAAAGCCTCTGCTCTTTCAGTGTTTTGTCCTCAGCCTCTTCCAGCAATCGAAAGGAAGAAAAGAGCCGGGCGGTGGTGGCGCACACCTTTAATCCCAGCACTCGGGAGGCAGACAGGTGGATCTCTGTGAATTCGAGGCCAGCCTGGTCTACAAAAGCTAGTTCCAGGACAGGTTCCAGAGCTACAGAGAAACCTATCTCAAAAGAGACTGGGGAATGTTCATAGAGATAGACAAAGTCAAGCTTTCTTATAGAGGGGAAAAGGGGCTGGAGAGGTGGCTCACAGACACAACTCCAGCTCCAGGGGCTCTGGTGCCCTCTTCTGGCCTCCACAAGCACTGCACCCACCTGCACAATGCCCTTCCCAGCACACACACACACACACACACACACACACACACACACACACACACATATAATCAAAAAGAAAAGAAAAAAATGAAAAAGAGGAAGAAGCCTGGAAACAGCAGGCAGACCTTGTTTAGAAGCAGATGAACGCTCACAGGAAAACAGGTCCTGCTCAAGGGTCTGTGCATTCCTTATTATAATTACCACTGAAAGCAAGGACAGCGATGAGACTGAAGAACTTGACAGATTCGTGAAAGACTTGGAGCCCCCTTTGGAAAGTGAAAGCACTTTTGTTGGCCCTCACTGTGTAGGGCTGGCAAGATGGCTCAGCAGTGAAATCCTTACTGCCAAGCCTAGAGACCTGAGCTGACAACGGTAAGGTGCTCTCTGTGAGGTATGTCTCACCATCCCCAGGTAAATAAATAAAAGGAAAAAGGGGGCAGGAGCATGTAGGGGCGCAAGAAGAAAGGACTTTTGGGGATGGGCTGGAGAGATGGCTCAGTGTTTACGTGCTGCTCACACGTAAGGGCTCAGGCTCACAACTGTCTGCAACTCCAACTCTAGAGATCTGATTCTAAACTGGCCTCCCAGGTACCTGCGCTCACATACATGAGGGCAGACATTCACACAACTAAAGATAAAATAAGTTTTTGAAAAGGGCCATAGCCGGGCGATGGTGGCGCACGCCTTTAATCCCAGCACTCACTCAGAAGGCAGAGGCAGGCGGATCTCTGTGAGTTCAAGGCCAGCCTGGTCTACAAGAGTTAGTTCCAGGACAGGCTCCAAAGCTACAGAAAAACCCTGCCTAGAAAAAAAAAAAAAAAAAAGGCCATAGGCCAATCTGGTCTACAGATTGAGTTCCAGGCCAGAACTACAAAGTGAGACCCTATGTTTGTTTATTTGTTTGATTGTTAGTTGGTTTTTCCAGACAGGGTTTCTGTGTAGATCAGGCTGGCCTCAAACTCAGAGATCCGCCTGACTCTGCCTCCCCAGTGCTGAGACCCTGTAGATAGGCAGACAGACAGACAGACAGACAAGTCTGGGAGTTTGGAATCCAAAGGCAAGATCATGTAACAGGTTAGCTGGATTAATTTATACTGTGGTGGAGGTGCCTGCTCCATAGGGAGAAGCCAGCTAACTTCAGCACAGACCCTGGCACTTGAGTGTGGTGGGCAGAGTGCCTATTCTGTCTCTGGTCCAGTAGTATTGCCCTGCACTCACTCGGTTTACCACCCACAACAGCCTCAGGGGATCTCTGAAAATTCAAGGCCAGCTTGTTCTACCTAGAGAGTTCCGAGACAGCCACGGCTACTAGTGAGACCCTGTAAACAAACAGAAAACCTGAACTCCTGCCAGGTGGGTGTTGGTGGTGTACATCTCTAACCCAGCACTTGGGAGGCTGAGAACAGAGGCCAGCATACTCTGGACTACACAGAGTCCAATCTTAGAAAATCACAAGCAAGCTGAGGATGGTGATGCACACACCTTTAATCCCAGCACTCAAGAGGCAGAGTTCCTCCAGGACACCCAGGACTGTCACATAGAGAAACCTTGTCCCAAAAAAACAAAACAAGCAAACAAAAACAACAAAACTCTTACCCACAAACCTAAATGTAAGTAGGTTACAATAAAGTACTATCCCCTTCAGCAAAAAAAAAAAAAATTTAATTAAAATAAAATAACCAGGCTGAATGGAATGCGTAAAGGGCTTTTACATATGAGATGAGAGATGCTGAGACGCCATGAACAAACTCAGACCTCTGAAGGAGCCATCAAGAGGCTAAAGCCAGTGCAGCACAGGGAAAAGTGTATCCAAAGAAAGCCTCTGGAGATGGTAAGTTTCCCAGGACTGGCATGGGGGAGGAAAGCAAAGGAAATCACAGTTGACATTTAAAAAATATCAGCTCTGGGCTGGAGAGATGGCTCAGCAGTTAAGAGCACACTGACTGTTCTTCCAGAGGACCTGAGTTCGATTCCCAGCAACCACATGGTGGCTCACAACCATCTGTAATGAGATCTGGTGTCCTCTGGCCTGCAGGCATACATGGAGGCAGACTCTCTATACATAATAAATAATAAAATCTTAAAAAAGAAAACTCTTTAAAAAAAATATCAGCTCTGTGCTTTGCTACAAAAGCCAAATAATGTTTCTCCTAGGAAGTAATCCATTTTATTGTTCCTGTATGTAAGGAAAGGGAAGCTGAGAATGTCAGTAGTTTGCTTTGCTGACGGCTAAATCAGAACCCTGACATGGTACTTCTTGAGTTTAGGTTAGAGACATGGCACCTACACGGCAGGTACGGCCCTCCCCTGGCCTAGAGTGATTCTGTCTTTCCCTGAAGCAGGACCCTGGTCGCCAGTTCCAGTAGTATTTTAGAACCCAGCGCCAGGCAGAGGCTGCCCCCCCCCCCCTCAAAGAACCGTGTCCTTAAATCCTCCCAGACAGGCCTGGAAAAGGCAATGGTTGTACCTGACAGCAGAGTAGTGGCCACACGGTGGCAGCAGAGCTTCGGCTGTGGAATTCCATTCCCCAGTTCTCTAGCAAAGATGGGCTCCGTCCATCCACAAAATTTACAAGCCACTGCTACTCATTAAGACCCCAAAGCCCACCTGTCACTCACCTTATTGTCCATAGGTAAGTCATAAGAGTAGGGACTCCATGTTTAACCTTATCAGAAGTAGCGGGGATTGGAATGGGCTGCAGTCCTGACTGCCCATCTCAGGCATGGGGAGGGACCAAGGTGGGTCACCCTAGCCTACTAGTAACCCTAGTTCCTTCCCATCCAGGAAATAACAATCCTGACAGGAGTTTCTTCAGTCAGTTGATCAATTGAAGCTCTCCAACCTGTTGAAGAATTGGGGGTTCTTATAAGGCTCCCCCAGGGCCTAGCTCTGACAAACCGTCTGCAATTAATGATGCTTCCTGAGCTCTGGAGACAGGATTTATGCATCTAATAAAGTCTGTAACTCCAGGCTTAGGCCGGGGGGTAGGAAGCTGAGAGCAGAAAGTCCCCAGGGGGATATGAGAAGGGGTCCCAGGTGGCTCTTAATAGAGCCATGCATTTCTGTTGCCTGTCTAGATTTCCCTCAGGCTGCTGCTGAGGTGGGGGTGGGCCAGCAGGTATAAGAGGATGGTGTGCCAGTGGGGAGGTGGATGGCAGCATGGATTCCAAGCAGGTTGCTGTGCTGCTGCTATTGCTGCTGCTGCTGCTGGACTCGGGTCATTCTGAAGAACCAGGGAGCCGGGATGGAGACCAGGTCTTTGCAGTGAGTGAGCGCCCTTCCCCGCACTATCCCCTCCGCTGAAACTTGTGATATAGGCTTTGATGTTCCCTGGCTGCTAAGGTCTTCATGAAGCCTGGCTTCTAAGGAAGATGGCTCCTGAGCCCATACAAGTTGCTCCTAGCTAGTCTTTTCCCCCATGTCTTCAATGTCCAGGAGGACACTGCCTTTTCCCTGTCACCCTCTCATCACAGGAAGAAGATGGGGGACCCCACCCACCACAGGATGCCCAGACTCCTGGGACCCTCTTGCGTTTTCTGCTTCAGGCCATGGAGAGACCTGGCAAAAGCCCAGCCTTCCTGTTTCATCCTCAGAGGTGAGTTTCAGCAGACAGAGGCTGGGAAGGCGGAGGGCTAAGGACGAGGTGAAGGAAGCTAAAGTAGATGGAACTTCAACTGAGGATGAATCTCTCCAAAGGTTTGGCAGAAATACCTGGGGGTCCTGGAGCAAAGAGCAGCTAAGTCCCCGGGCTAGAGAGTTCTGGAGCCTGGCTGCCCCTCAGCGCTTTGGGAAGTAACAGCATCATCCCTGTGATGTGTCTGCATGCAAAATCACCCCCCATGTGCCACGCGTGCCCCCAAATAAAATGGCCTGTCTTCTGAATCCATGTGTTTGGACAAGACTTTCAGGGAATGGGCGGCGGATTCCAAGGACAAGAAGCATAGCCCCCTCACCTCCACTCAAATTCACACCATTCTGCTCAAAGGGTCCCCAGCTAACTGCACATAGCCTCCTTCCTACAGTAACAGAAAAACATGCCACGTTTATTCCTCTGACAACCACATGACCCACGGCCAAAGAAAGCAGAGTTTAGGAAGCCAATGAGCAGCATTTATTCTAGAATCCATTAGAATTCCAATTTACTTTTCATTTGCCATCCATAGAATGAGAGCAAATCCTGTGCTGGCTGGGGCCCTTTGCTCGCCTGTGCCTTCCTCAGGCTCAAGGCAGGCGGTCTGTGTCAGAGGTAGAGATGGCAGCCCTGGAGGGTTCCAGAGCTGCGCCGATGCATGGGGCCAGGGTCAGGAGGGGCAAGAGGTAAACAGTGCACATCCATCACTGCAGCCAGGGTGCTACTTGCTACCCGCCATGATCCTGAGGTACTGGAGGGCGCGGCGAGCAGCCTCACCTCGGGCTGCCTCCCTGGTAGTTGCAGAACCATGACACACAGTGGCTGGCTGGGTGGACAGCTCCACTAGGCACTGGCAGAGCCCACTCAAGCTCAGTTCTTCTAGAAACCAAGAAAGAGGAAGGAGGAAGTATGGGGGAGAGAGGGCACCAAATATGATGTACGTCACCTATCTCTTAACCCCTTTATACTTCCTCTGGTCCTGTCCCCTCCACCGCCCGCCAAGTCCCCTAGCTGGCCATACCAATGTCCAGGTAGCTGACATGGAAAGCCTGCTCCTCGGAGAGCTCATTGAGGACACTGCAGCAGGCAGAACCCAGAGTCCCTAGAGAGCCCACAGAGCAGCTACGAAGGGACAGAATTTTTTCTCCCACAGAATTGCGCAGGGAATCCCATGTGCAGCCTGGCCCCCGGTTCCGAAGTCCATCCAGGCGGGAGCTCACGCCCTAATAAGATGAGACGGAGAAAGCTAAGCTCTGGCATGCTATCTGCTGGAACCTCATCTGGTTCCAGGCAGCCTTCCTCGCCCCAGTAAAAGTTGCTTACAGGGCCTTTGCCCTAGGTGAGCTTTCCCCAGTGAGTGCAGCACAGGCTAGCACAGGCTGAGGGGACTGCTGGGCTCACAAGTTCAAGAGGCCCTACAGTTTGGTAAGAAAACTGAAGAGAAGCAGGTCCAGACTCACTCCCAAATCACAGACAGACCCAACCCACTGAACCACATGGCAAACCCACATAAACCACTTACAATGGAAAAGTGATCATCCTCAGGTTCTGCCTCGTTGCCATCCCGGGCGTCCAGAGGAACTGTGTGCACTCGAAGCAGCATTTTAGCTGCTGCATTCCGCTTTGCCAGCTTTTTGGAAGTGCCACTGCCTGAGTGTGGGGAAGGGGTTGCTGGTGTGGGCATTGCTAAGAGGCCAGTGCTCTCCTTCCGGGTTATACTTGGACTGAAGTCCCTCAATGGGATGTCAACGCACATGGGAGCTGAAAGTCTGTCGTTGGCCAGAAGAGAGGGGAAGATGGGCAGGGGCAAGGAGGACACAGGAGCAGGAGCTAAGCAAGGGGTTGCAAAGCACAGGGATAGAGCATAGCCAGGCAAAGAGAGAGCCACCTTGTGCTCCTGGTCAGAGCGCGACAGAAACAGTTACCAATCTCAACGAAGCGTTCCACCCGGCAGGTCATGGTGAATTCTTTACGGTGAGCAGGCCCAGACTCCTGGGTCACCATGTACTCTGGCAAACGCCAGCCTTTTTGTACCACGAGCTCCTTAAAGGGAGACAGACACAAGAACCCAAGGCTAAGTAAGGAGAGGTTCCTTAGCTACATGGCCTTCTTCCCAGGAGCCTCAGCCTTTGGGTGAGGATGACCACCCTCCCACAGTAAGACCCCTGCTCACAGCCCTAGTTCAGAGAGGACAGCACAGACCTGCAGAGCACCAACGGGGTTGCACTCCGACTGCTGCGGGGAGACAGGGGGCTGCATCTCCATGGGAGGGCTCCTAGAGGAGAAGGGCCACTGCCACCATCTCCTGACTTCCCACCAGGCAGGGAGCAATCTGTCCAAACATCCAGTCTTGCTCCTCCCAACCCCCAGCATGCCAGCCCTGCTAGTTCCCAGGAGAATTTCGATGTGGAAATATGTCAGCAGTTTCCCTATGACGGAGCCAGTTCTGGAAGTACCTTGTGGGCCTCAAACATGGGACCTACCGTGCCCAGCTCAGAAAATGGAGCCTATAAAATATCTGAACAATCTAACATCTTCACATGGCTATTTAGACATCGTAAATTGCCTCCATCTCAAGCTTGCCAGCAAGCTCTGGTGCAAATTTTTCAATTATTCCACTCTGTGTTTACTTAAAGGCTTCTTCATCCTAACCTGCCTGGGTCCAAGGGCTAAGAGGTGAGGGTCTTCCCTCCCTCTGAGATATCAGGGAACTCAAGATACCTGGTTAGTAGAGCAGATGGAAGAGGGGCGGCAACTTCTGCAGCAATGACAGGCGCGTCCTCAAGCAGTGAAGGATCTAGAAGAGAAAAAGAACTTCCCAAGGGGAAGGGAGCCTTGGATTCACACCCATGTAGAAAGGAACGGGGGTGTGAGGTCCTTCTGACTTTCCATCCCCTGAGAGAATTCCTTCCCCCTGATCCAGACTCAAAGAGAGCCCCAGCAACAGCTCTTCCTCCAGGGATCCTCTGCTGACCCACACTGGCTCAAAAGCACTGAGGTTGGGGGGGGGCTCAGAAAAGAGTCTCTTTCCTACCCAACAACAAGCTCCAACCTAAATGTAGAAGAGGAAAAGTCATGTTCCTAGAAAGTGGGCATGTCAGGACCAACTTATCAGCCTTAGTCCCCACCCCCTATGCCCTATCCCAGCCCCAGAGCAGCCACCACCCATCAAAGGGGCTATTACCCTGAGCCACCCTAGAAACACCCTGTTCAGCTTTGGAGTCTCCAGGCCGGGCTTAGGGAGTAGGAGGCAGTGAGGACGCCTGGGTTCTCGGCAGGGCTGCTAGTGTGCCTTGGCTGTTCCTCCCTCACCTGCTTTCCTCCAGGGCTGGGTCCAGCATGCTCCCCCCTTTGAGGTGTTTGAGGGCCACCTCAGCTGCCTTGTGCTTGGCTGCCTTCTTGCTGGGGCCCTGACCTAAGAAAAGGGGTGTGGGCAATACTGGAGGTCACCAGCGGACAGCAGAGAAACCAGCCCCCACAGCCAGAGGGAGTCAACAGCCCTCTGAGCAACCCCCCTGCCAGGACTGGAAGGGTTCTGCTGACTGCTGGAAAGGCCTTCATCCTGGTTAGCATCATCTGAAAGGAAAGCCTTACTAAGGCACTGTCTACATCAGACTGACCTGTAGACACATCTGGGGGACTGTCTTGATTGCTAATGAGGTAGAAATGCCTAGCCCCTATCGTGGTGCCACCCCTAGGCAGGTGGTCTGAAAGTGGCAGCATCTGCCATTGCCCCTGCTGTGTGCTGGGAGGCTATGGAACAGTAAGCAGGCAGCAAGTTTATTCTCTTTGCTCTTGACTGTGAATGAGTTTCTTAATGGTGATGAGGGCTGTAAACCATCAACCCTATCCTCCCCTAAACAGCGTTTAGGTAAGGTGTTTCATCATAACAATACAAACGGACCTAGAACAGCCCATATCTCTCAGTTATCTCCCATAACTAAGCCATGCCAGGCAGGACTTGTGAGCTCCAACACCAGGAGCGGGGAGTGTCTTCCTTTCCCCTCGATAAATAGGCAGTAGAAACAACAAAGGGTCGGTTCTGAAGTAAGAGCTCTACCCTGCCACTCATCAGGCATGTGACCATCTGCCAGTCATTTCGTTTCTGAGACTAAGATGAAGGCCAACAGAGTGTGAGCTTGCTACCCCAAATACCCTCTACGGCAGTAAAAGTAGCAGATCCCTTTGACATTTCCTGTCCTATCCAACTTCTGACAGCCCTGTTCTTCCAATCCAGAAAGCAGCTTTCCCCGCTAAAATCTCCACCCCTCCCTGGCCTTAAAGAAGAGGACTGGGAAGCGGTTACACGATACTAAGCCACGGGCCCTGTGAATGCACACCCCAGCCAGGCTGCCCAAGCCTTCCTCACCAGTGCAGCTGGTGTCGCCAACGGTGACCCGGAAGGTGAAATTAGGCTGATGGGCTTGGCCCTCGGCTTTGAGAAGGTCGTACACGGGCGTCTTTCCTATTCTGGTCCCATACTCCTGAAGAAGGCTGATCGGGGTCTTGCCCGGGTTGGCGGACAGCATTTGCTCTACGCTGGGAGAGAGGGGCACAAACCACTATCACACTTTCCCTTTCGGCACCCACCTGACCAAGCATTACCACATTAGACATAGCCATTAGGGTCCATGGATCCCAGGCAGTATAGCATCCATGGACTGGGCTAAAAGTTAAGGTGCAGGAGGGAAAGCAAGAGCCTCTACCCCAAGGCAAGTGGAGAAAGGACTGTTCTCAGTTAGGGAGAGGGATCCTGTGCCGTAGTGCTGGTTGGACGTGCATTTTCCCCTGGCACAATGCAATTCGGAAACCCAGTACCCACCAAATGCACTGAACATCGGGTCATAAAGCCTAAGACTCCAGAGCAGTCTGGGAATCGAGCCAACCCCAAACTAGAGCTGGAGGCGATGGCCACTGACCCAGTGCATGCTGGGAACCTCTGCCCACTACCCCAGTGCTTGCTGGGAACAACCCTCAGACCAGGTGCATGCTGGGGCTGCGCCACTACCCGTCCGCACAGCCTCACACTTTTCGTCCTGCAGGAATCGAAATAGGCAGCTCACCTTGGCAGCCCGCAGCCTGTGGTAGTGCCGGAGCCCTGCTCCTCTTCACTCATTCCCTCCTCCGTCCCCGCGAGCGCCACCGTGACTACAGCTTCCACGCGCCCCAGTACACCACCGACGAGCTAGGGCCGGGGCCAAGCCCGGAGTCGCGGCCGACAGGGCCCGCAGCGGGGCATGCTGGGATCTGGAGTCCCCTGCCCATCCGGCTCCTTGTGTCTTCATCAGGAGTCGAGCTATCCGCCCCACAACTCTCCGCGTGGCTCGCCCGGGCGCCTGCGCCGCCCTCTGGGAGGAGCGGACCCTCCACGGAAGCTTCCCAACCTACCAGTGGTTTTTGTTTTCTAGTGTCATCCCGCCTTCTTCCTAGCGCACTGCCTCCTCCCAGGCTGAGACTGTGAGCATGCGTACTAGCAGGTGGCGGCGACTGGGGGCGGGGCGGTAAGGGACGCAGCCCTCAGAGAACTACAGAACCCAGGTGCCCGCGCGCCATCCGGTCACCGCTGCAGGCTTCGCGGCTTCATTGGCTGTGTTGAGAGCGACTTCCTCTAGGCGCTTGTCGATTGGTCACCTGGGCCAGAGGGCGGGACGGGGAAAGATAGGGTCCGCTTCTTGAGAAAGGGTTGTGATTGGCTGAGGGGGCTGCTGGCGTGGTTCTTTCGCTGGCCCAGAGGATGGGCCTTACCTGGCCGCCCCCACCTCAGAGCTATGGGGCTGTCGTAAGTTTTTTCAGAAACTGTCTCCCCAGGCACCAGTATAAGTCCCTAGCGCCTCAGGCCTTCGTGTTAAAAACCTGCTGCTTTTCTGTGGCGTGTCCTTGCCGCTCTTCATTAGCGCAGGCAGCCTGTCGGGGTTTGCGACTCTTTAGATAGGCCCTAGTGAACCTTTCTTGAACTGTCCGGGAACCTGGGGCCCGAGGATCATGAGGTGGCTCTTATGCTGTGTTCTTTAGTCTCAGCTGAAAGAGCACGAGAGTAATTAACGAACTAAAATATGCGCAAAGTACTTTTGGATCCCCAAAGTCTTGATACCATCAGGGTGAAGGATATAGGGAAAATCTTGTGACCTTGGACAGAGGAAGAAAGACACCACGAAAATCGTGATCTAAGAGTGTTTTAAGAATAGCTCTAGGAAGAGATGTCTTACTAAGAAGGTAGAAGATTCTCGGGATGATAATGAGGGGTCATCCAGGAGCTCTGATGTGGGAAAGAACTTAGGACTGGGTGGATTCCAATGGGGTGAACTGAGCAGTGACAAGGAAGACCAGCTGGCGATATTGATCTGAGAAGGGGGCACAGCCAGAGCGTTGTACGCTGAGGAGCTGCTCTCTCGGGGTATAGGAAAGAGTCTAGAAGACAGGTCACTAGGGGTTCCTACAGAATCCGCATGAGGCCCAAAGAGGGATTGCCGTAGGTCACCTCCAGGAAGGAGGCACAGAGCCTAGGCGAGCCAGAAACGAGCCTGGAGCGCGCCGGATGGCAGCCGCGGGCTCCTTTAAGAGGCCGGCGGCTCCAGCGCAGCATCCCCCGCTCAGGGCGTGTCCGTCCCGGGGGCCCAGGGGCGGGGGCCTTGGAAGGAGCGGGAGTTCAAGTCGAGTGAGGACGGGGCTTAGACTAGGGGGTGGGGGCCAAAAGCTGGGGCTGACATCCGAGCACCTGAGCTCCACACGAGCATCGCCAGTGACAGCACCCCGGGTCCGGTGGAGGGCAACGGGAGGGAGGAGGGGAGGAGGAGGAGGCGGGAGCAGCATCCGGAGCCGAGCTGCAGCAGCGCCGCCTTTTGTGCTGCGGCCGCGGAGCCCCCGAGGTGAGAGCCTGGGCGAGTCGTGGGGGTGGGGGGCAGAAATGGGTTCGGGTCTTGGGATCTGGGGTGGCGGAAGAGTCGGGATACAATTGTGGCGTGGTGGGGGAGGAGGTGACTGAGGATGCTGAGACCGTGGGATGAAGGAACTGGGTACCTGGACCCGACGCCTAGAGATAGCAAGGAGCGGGGCGAAGCTGAGGGATGCGGCGGCCCAGTTTTGAGACCAGAAGCCTCCAACGCTGTAGTGGATCATGTGGGGGTGAAGATGGCCAGGGGAAGACTTAAAGAACGGCGGGCAAGAGCACGTCCTCTTTTTCTCCTCATCCTCAAGACCGAGAGGGAAGGGGAAGGGAGAGTTGTGGCCCTCTCCAGGGAAGGGAGGGAAGGGCAAGGCCTAATGTACCCACCGTCCCCCTCCCCCACACCTGCACCTTTCAGGCTCCACCTGAAAATTAGGCTGCTCCTATTCCTGCACGCCCTGGCGGGGTTTCTCTCCCCTTCCGTCTGTAGTGCTAATGTTTCTGATCTCCAGCTGTGGCATTCCCTACCATCCAGCTGTTGAACCCTTCCCCCATTTGTATGTGGCTTCGGTCTCAGCCGGCTGTCCTCTGGCTTCCCTAACCCACTTCCCAGGTCAGACACTATGAATCCCCCCCCCTTTTCTCACACACTCACCAAACTCCTTGGCTTACCACGTTGATAGCCAAGGCTTTGGCTGAGGGTGGACTCCGTAAGCAGTAGTAGGGAATGGAGGGAGGAGGCTTGCAACTCTATTTGCTGCCTTTTTGGCCTTCGGACAAGAGAACACGCACCTGAGATCTCACACACCCCAAACCCCTGCAGCCACAGTGGGCGTCTCACTCTCATCCTCCTCTCCCTTCCAGTTCTCCGGTTGCCTTCCTTGGCTCTGAGAGACCTGGTTTCCAGCCTGGTCATCCCAGGCTTACATCAGCAGCAAGCATTTGGGAAGGAAAGATCCCAGGTGCCCCCTGGGCCTTTCCGTACAGACACTGAAGTTTCCAAGTTCAATAGCGCTGCCCCCTCTTGTCTCACATTTAAGGAGGGGAAAGTATCTGAGGCTCAAGCTAAGCCCCAGCCAACTGTAGGCTCCCAGGAAGACCCCAAGGTCCAACACTCATGAAGTTCGCCGTCATTGGTAGAAGGTGTGATTCCAGATTACCTAGGTTTCTTCACAGAAAAACCCTCTAAAAGGCAGTTACTGCTCAGGTTCTCAGGGGAGAAGTGTTGGTAAGGTGATAAAGGACCCTAAATTCTAGCACCCACTTCTGCCTCGTGTTGTCCATGTCTAAGGAGTAAGAGAATTGGGGACGAAGCTTTTCTGTCCTTGTTGAAAGGGTGCCCGCAGAGGAGTTTGTCCACTTGCCCCCAGAAAGCCTGGTCATGTGTGCATTGGGAGAGAGGCAACACCGGTCTGGACGATAGAGCCCCTGACCTTCAGTTTTATTTGTTTATTTATTTGTGGCATTAGGAATTGATCCTAGGACCCTACACATTCTGGGCAAGCTCTCTACAGCCCAAACTACATTATCAACTTATTTTTTACAGATTTTATTTTGAGACACAGTGCCACTAAGTTGCCCAGTCAGGGCTTGAACTTTGAACCCTCCTGCCTCTGCCTCCTAAATGAGTGGGCTTTGAGGCTGAGCCAGGAAACCTGGCAGGCTGCATTTTCCTTTGCTATTTTTTTTCACCTCTTGTTTTCCACCTTTCTTCCTGTCCTCGGTGTTACCTCTTGTTTTGAGGAGATAAAAGAAGCAAGAAGCTAGCCCGGTGCACCATGGCCGATGCCCGCCTTTAATCTCAGCACAGAGGAGGCAGGTGGACAAGTGGATCTTTGTGACTTCAGGACAGCCAAGGCTACAGACAGGGGTGTGGCTCCATTGGTAGGGGGCCTCCAAGAAGCCATGGCAAAGCCCTGCAGAAAGTTTGATGTGGTTTACTTCCCTTATCCTGCTCGGGGCAGAGAGGAAGGAGATCAGGAGCTCAGGGTCATAGTCAACTACAGAGCAAGCTCAAGGCTAGTATGGGTGGGTGACATAAGAAAAAGTTATTTTACTTTGTGTGAAACATAACTGCTGTCTTTGGAGAGCATCCTGTGTGCCAGGTACTGGGCCAAGAACTTTTGGTTACCTCAGTAGTTCATGTAACATTAAGTTACACTGTCATCATCTGAGCTTTAGGGATGAGGAGATTGCAGTGAGGTAGCCAGTCTCGGTGGTACATTTCAGTGATCAGTGAGCTAAGTAACCGATAATGCCAGAAAGACAGAGTTTGAGAGATGCAAGAGTATCAGAGCATGAAGGCGAACACCTGGTCTGTACTGGAGTTCTGGGCTAGCCAGGGCTACAGAGTAAGAGCTTGTCTGTCCAGAAACAACAACAAACCAGTCATGAGATGAGAACTAGAATTGGAAGCCAGGCATGTCCCACTGGCCTTTGCGCAGAGACAGCTTTGTTAGCGGGTCTCATACTGCAGGGCATCCAGCGCATCAGAGCAGAAACTTGGTGCTGAGGCCTGTGAGTTCCCCATTCCTAGGCTAGGAACAGAAATGGATGGATATTACACATGTCTTATCTCTTTTCTGCAATTAAAAAACATGTAAAAGCAAAAACATCACATTTTATATTAAAGGAAGCTTAAAATTATTACTGAAATAATATAGATAAACCTAAAGAAGAGAATTGATGAACTATGTGTGTTGGTGCCTGCCTGTAATCCCAGCACTTAGGAGAAACAAAAGGTATTCATGTCCAGCTTGGCCTATATGAGACCTTGTATTATTTAAAGAAGAAAAAAGTTGAAATATCCATAATTTCACCTGTCACCTTTTTTAAGACAAGGTTTCACAGTGTAACTTAGGTTGGCCTTAGCCTCTGAGTTTACAGGTATGTCTCAGCTCACGTGGTTACTTTCAGATATTTTAAGATGCTAATTCAGTCCTGGTGCCGTGTGTTCCTTATAGTCCGCTTCTTTCAGGCCTGTGGCCGTGCCATGCCATGCTGCTCCTGCTCGCTGCCTCTCTTATCCTCCTGAGCGAGGCTCACTGAGCAGGCCCCAGAGGGAACCAGCTAGGGAATAAGGATGAGGTGCAGGGCTCCGGACCTTCCCTCAAGTTTGCAGAGGCAAGACAGCAGATCTGGAGCCTACTCTCATGTGACCACTGGAATTATCATTGATCCTAGCAGAGCCAAATCTTCCTTTTTTTCTGGTTGAGAAGAGCTGGCCTCCCTACAATCCACAAAGAAAGATCTGGTGTCTAACTAGGTGGGAAAACAGAGCAGAGCCAGGAAGGAGGCAGGCATGGCTCACTGTGCCCCTACCTCCTCTTCTTGCCCCTCCTCAGCCCTGAAGGCCAGGTAGGAGAGTCTGTGTGAGACCCAACCTCCAAGGGCCTAGGGCAAGGCTGCTGTAGTGCCTTTTCCCCTCCAGATCCATAGCTGGCTTTTTCCCTAAGCAGCACTGAGCACTGAGCCCCAGCCCCTTCACCGTCCACCTTACTGGCAAAGGGATGATAAAAAGGAGCCTCAGGATTTGAAGTGGCAAGAACCTAGGGTTCTGTGATCTCCACTTCTCAAAAGCCAACTCCCTTTTCACGGCCCCTAAGAGAGTGGGAGTCCTTTCCAGCTTGGAAGATTTCTGGGGTAAGACCATGGGTCCTGACAAGAGGAAAAGTAGCCGGGCGGTGGTGGCGCACGCCTTTAATCCCAGCACTCGGGAGGCAGAGGCAGGTGGATCTCTGTGAGTTCGAGGCAGCCTGGTCTACAAGAGCTAGTTCCAGGACAGGCTCCAAAGCTACAGAGAAACCCTATAGGGGGGGGGGGGGATAGGCAGGCCGCAGGCACAGCAGCCGTCTGTCCTGCACTCAGAAGCATCTGTCCTTAAGGATCTCACAGCATGCGTGGTAGAGAACCAGGATTCCCATAACAGTCCCTGAGAGGGAAATGAGGTCCAGGAAGGAAGAGAGTTGAGTGTGAGAACTCAAGGGATAGGCAGATGGCCACACCCCTGAGCAGAACCTCCAGGACTGACCACCAGACAAGCCACCGGGTCCTGCTGCTACAGCAGGAAGGAGCAAGAGCCCACCTGCTTCAGCCTTGCAGTCTCCTCAGGAATGAGGAGAGGTGAAGGTGACTTCCAGGTCCCAACTCTATAGACATCTCCCGTAGTAGATGAAGTCAGGGACCACTCTGTGCCCTCACAGTCCGGCACACAGGCACTGTCCACATTTGTCCTGTGGTTTAGTGACTGACAGAAATCCCTGCTCTGTGCCCCCCAGGCCCTGCATAATTGATAGCTAGGGAGACAGGTCCTCTCCCCCTGGGTGACCCGACCCAGCTGGGGGGCAGTGAGACACAGCTGGTGGGTCAGGAATAAAGGAAGCAGAAAGGGGACATTTGCTGGGAAAGAGGAATCTCCAGTTTACCACGGCTCCCTGGGGTCCCTCAACTCTCCAGTCTGTCTTCTTTCAGGTCAATCTAGAAGAGCTGTCACTAGCCTGAGGGGGTAGGGGACCCATACCATGACTAAATGCCCTGGGTGTCATCTCTTGCTTCTCCAGCTGTTCCCACTGCCCTAAAAGGTGAGCAGGTGGAATGGCTTCTCGGCTCCCCAGCTGCTGGCCCTGGATACCACAGTGTCCTCTGGGGCTGCCTGTGTGATCTCAGCGAGGCGGAACTGCAAACTGATTCTGAAGATGGCATCCTATCTACGATTATACCTGGTTGCAGTCCAGATGGTGCCAAAACCATTTTTAAAATCTGATGCTTTGATACCTAAAACTGGGCTTCTAGATAGGAAACGAGTGTAGAAAGGGAAAGGCCGGCTGTGGTAGTCATCTCCTTTTCGTCTCCATCTTCCCAGGGTTCTGTTTTCAGGCCACCCTCCAGGTTTGACGCTGTTGGTCAATCTCTTCACCCAGTTCTTTTGACTGTCCATTTCTTAACTTCTGTGTGGTACTGCCCCCCCCCCCCAAGCAACCCTACGAGTCCTCCCCCTCCCATTCCCTTTTCCTTCACCAGATACCCAGCCCAAGTATCTGTGCATGAGGGGTCGGAGGAAGGTGAGCTTCAGGGGACACAGGTGGGGCCAACAGCGAGCCCATACCTGAATGCAGGCAGCCAACATAGCCTCCACCCTTAAACCTGCCCAGGTCAGAGGCGGGCTCCGGCGGGGCCCCGCCCCTGACTCGCGTTCACGTGACCCTAGGCTAATCTTGTCCCGATGACTTCACGGGCCCAGTCGTCATGGTTACGCCGCAGCGCCCAGCCCTTCCCCCAGCTGGCTGTGCTCTCTTCTCCCCCTCCTGGACCCCTCCTGCTGCCGCGCCCCCAGCCCCGCGGCACGTGACTGTCGGGAAGGAGGTCGGCAGGGGAGGGGGAGCTATGGCCGTAACCCCTTCCACTCCACTTGCCGCGGTGCGGTCCCTGGTGTCAGGCGGTCCAGCAGGTGGGCATGCGAGAGCATGCGAGAGCCCCATCCTTGGGGCCGCGGTGAGAGGCGGAAGTCTTAGGGTCGTTTGCAGGAAATTCTCCGTGTGTTCGCAGGCTGGTCTGTGTTAGTAATTTACGCTCTCGAAGCCGAAGCCGCACACATCGTGGGATATGTTGGCAATTCAGAGTCTGTGGTTCCTGGTTTCTTGACCTCGGTTTTCTCTAGACCATAAGAAGACCAAATACGCCTTATTTGCTAGGCTGTTCGGAGGATTCAGGGAATTGAGACACACGGGGCATGTGTGACCCTAGGTGGGTAGAGCAGTGTTTCTGAGCCACGAGGCTGGAGGCTCAGGGCCTTGCCCACTCAAAAGCACTTTAACCAGACAGGGTTGGGACTGCATGGAAGACTTACAGGTGGAAGTGAGACGGTGACTGTGGCGCCACCAGCTGGTTAATACTTCTGTACCTGTGCTTTAGTGGGGCTTATAATTCCAACTGTATTTGTATAATTTTTAGCTTCTTAATTTCATATTTTTTATGTGTGTGTGGGAGCCTGCATGAGGTTATGGCACTTGGCACTATGGCAGGGCCTTGGTTTGTGAGCCACCATGTGGATGCTGGGAACAAACTCCAAAAATCTGCAAGAATAGTAAGCACTGTTAACCCCAGCCATCTCTCCGGCCCCTTGGTATATATTAATTATACCTAACCATGGGTTTCATTATGATATTTTAATGTTTGTATATAATGTATTTGATCATCCATATTCCTCATAACCCTTGTCCCATCTTCCCCCACATCCTATGTATTCCTTCCCAACCAATACCCCTTCCATTGTCTCCTCCTCTCTTCTCCCCTCCACACCCCCCCCAGAGTTTAATTAGGTTTGCTAATAGGAGCCTCAATTTGGGTTAATTTACAGTGGCATGGGCACCTTACCAGTGGGGTCTATACCATCAAAGAAAATGTCTTTCCTCTCCCAGCAGCCATTAGCTGCATTTATAGTTTCTTTAATAGAAGGCCAGAGGGAAGGAAAGATCGGTGTGGTGTTGTGAGCCCTCCATACCCAAGGCTGCATGTGGACATAGCCAGTATTGTGCAGTCTTGTGCTTATAATCACCGTATCCCTACAGTTTATGGGCTTTTTGTTTTTCCTAGACAGCTGGTTTGTGAGCCACCATGTGGTTGCTGGGAATTGAACTCAGGACCTTTGGAAGAGTAGGCAATGTTCTTAACCTCTAAGCCATCTCTCCAGCCCTACTCTGTTTATTTTTTAAAACAAAGTTTCACTGTGTAGCCCAGGCTGGCCTGAAACTCACTGTGAAGCAGGAGACTTTCAGCTTCTTACCCTCCCACTTCCACTCCACGCTGGAACAGTTAGGTCCCTTTCTGTGCTGCTGGAGACTGAACTCAAGGCCCTTCCTTGCTATGCGAGCACTCTAGTGTTACATTGTGGCGACAGTGAACTGCAGTAGTCAGCCTATGCTAAAGACTGCACACATAGTAACTTTTGGGAAAGTTCACAATTGCCTTTGGACACTCTAATTCAGAACCTGATATATCTTTTTTTTTTAATATAATTTTTTTATTGAAAAAAAAAAGATTTCCGCCTCCTCCCCGCCTCCCATTTCCCACCCCGTCTCCCTTTTCCCCCCTCCTCCCTCTCCTCTCCCCCTCCCCCCCACTCCTCTCCCCCTCCCTCTCCAGTCTGAGGGGCAGTCAGGGTTCCCTGCCCTGTGGAAAGTCCAAAGTCCTCCCCGCTCCATCCTGGTCTAGGAAGGTGGACATCCAAACTGGCTAGGCTCCCACAAAGCCAGAACATGAAGTAGGATCAAAACCCAGTGGCATTGTCCTTGGCTTCTCAGCAGCCCTCATTGTCCGTCATATTCAGAGAGTCCGGTTTTATCCCATGGTTTTTCAGTCGTAGTCCAGCTGGCCTTGGTGAGCTCACAATAGATCAGCCCCACTGTCTCCGTGGGTGGGTGCACCCCTCGTGGTCCTGACTTCTTTGCTCATATTTTCCCTCCTTCTGCTCCTCCTTGGGACATTGGGAGCTCAGTCCAGTGCAGAACCTGATATATCTTGATGCCCAGGGTTGCCTAGCTACCAACATAAGAAGCCACTAAGGGATCTTACACAAACAAAGCTGATGAGTTTTATGTTTTGGATCTTTCAGAAGCTGAATGGAAAATTAAGAGAGAACTTGAGAATCATTCATCCTCAGCCAGGTTCTGATAGCTAATGAGGCTTCAACTAAAGCAGTAACAGGACTAGAGAAAATATTGGCAATGTGTCATATTTAACTTTTAATTTGTTTCTATTTACTTACTTTATGAATGTTTTGCCTGCATGCATGTATGTGCACTATGTGGGTGCCTATTAGATCCCCTGGAACTGGAGTTACAGTTGGTTCTGAGCCATCGTGTGAGTGTGGGACTCAAACCCAGATCCTCTGCAAGAGCAACTGACAACTCTAAGCCCAGCCCAGTCAGTAGGATTTTCAAATGTACTAGTCACAGGATAAACGGGGGTGCTTGTTACCTGCACAGACCCGAACCTAGCCCATACACACAGTCTTCAAGAAAAAGGGCTGCAGATGGTGCTAGGCAAGCTGAGAGTGTCCTTTATTCCTGCACCGTGCTCTGAGCACCCTCCACACTGTCCTTCATTCCCTGATTAGAGGGAACACTAGCAGCAAACCCCATGTCTCATTCTTTGATACCCACAAAACATGGGGCTGGGAGAACAGTATGACTCTTGGTGTCAAGTTCTGAAGTAAGTCTGGAAAGCTGGGAGAGTTTGCTGAGCCTGGATGCTAGTTGGGCTCTTTGTGTAACTGGAGAAACTGACACGCAGCTGTAATTTGCCCAAATCAAATGTAAAATTTAGTTTGTTGGTATTGTTTTTATAGGTGCCAGCTAGGGACTAGATCCAGGATCTTTGCCTATTTGTATGGCTCTTTTTGTTTCTTTCTCTGAAGTAGGGTTTTATGTAGTCCTTGCTGGCTTCATGTTCAGGATCCTCTTGCCGCTGCCTCTCAAGTGCTGGGATATGGGAATTATACCACTAGGCCCAGCTGGATTTGTAGATGTTGTTTATTTTTGGAGACAAGACAGAATCTTAAGTAGCTCAGGCTGGCCTAAGATTCAATACTTAGGCAAGGATGATCTTGAATGTCTGATCTCTTGCCTCCACCCACCACGTGCTAGAGTTACAGGCCTGTGTGCCCTGCCCAGGTTTATGGAGTCCAAGGCCTTTGCATTCCAGGCAAGCACTCTACCAAACTAAGCTGCGTCCTCAACCCATTTGTTTGTTTTTTCGAGACAGGATTTCTCTGTGTAGCCCTGGCTGTCCTGGAACTTGATCTGTAGACCAGGCTGGCCTCAAATTTGAAGATCCACTTGCCTCTGCTTCCTGAGTGCTGGGATTAAAGGTGTGCACCATCACCACCTGGCCTAGACCTGTCATTTTAATGTTTGCTATTTAGCACACAGCTATGAATTGGGACATATTTCTATTGCCTGGAAAGCTTAAACTTGGAGAGCTGGGGGGGGGGTAGGAAAAAAAAAAGAGATGAGCCCTCTTTTGACCTCTAAGAAGATGCAGGTGAAGGTCAGAGCCTCACACCACCCCCTTTTCCCAACTGTTGAGGGGCTAGCACAGCTCTGTGGTTGTTTCTGGACGAGGTAACATCCTGTTGGCGAGCACTGAGTGGTCACCTGTAAGCAGAAAGAGAAGGGCCCAGATGTGAGTCCTGAGTTGAATGTTCCTGAGAAGGCTTCGGGTACTGTTGGCTAGGAATACATAATCAGTGTACATCACATTGGTGTTTTGCCTGCATGTTGACTCGGGAAGATGTTGACATCACATTATCTGAGTGTGCAGAAAAGCCTGCTTGTATGATTCAACACGAGGAAGGTCTCTGTGTGTTGCCACTGTGTGCCTGAGATTGAGATTCAGATAAAAGTGTCTGACACCCAGGCTGGATTTAGTGGTGCACACCTTTAATTTTAGCACTAAGACAGGCAGGCAGGTCTCTGTAAGTTCAAGGCCAGGTTGGTCTACACAGAGTTCCAGGACAGCCAGACCTCCATCAGGAGACATTATATATAAAAAATAAAAATCTGTTGTTGACAGTGAACCTCAGCTGACGAGAATGCTCCAGGGGTTGTACAAACCAGGATCTGGTTCAGATCTACTAGCCCCTGCCTCTCAAGTGCTAGGACTAAAGGTGTGCACTACTACACCAGGCCTAGGCTTTTTTCTTTTTAAAAGATTCATTATGTATACAGTCTTATATCTGTCTGTATGCCTACAGGCCAGAAAAGGGCACCAGATCTTATTACAGATGGTTGTGAGCCACCATGTGGTTGCTGGGAATTGAACTGAGGACCTGTGGAAGAGCAGTCAGTGTCTCCAGCCCTTGATTTTTTTTTCCCCTCCTTTTTGGTGTTTTGAGACACAGTTTCTCTGTAGCTTTGGAGCCTGTCCTGAAACTAACTCTTGTAGACCAGGCTGGCCTCGAACTCGCAGAGATCCACCTGCCTCTGCCTCTTGACTGCTGGGATTAAAGGTGTGCGCCACCACCGCCCAGCCAGCCCTTAATTTTAAGATTTATGTGTTGGTATTTTGCCTGCAAATATCTGAGTGCACCGTGTATGTAGTGAATGACTGATGAGGCCAAAGGAGGGTGTTGGAGCCCCTAGAATTGGGATTTCAGATGGTTGAGCCATGGAGTAGTGTTCTTAACTGCCTGGCCTTCTCCTTGCTTTCATTTTTGATTTTGCCATGCTGGGCATGAAACCCAGGCATTCAGGTACATTAAATGTTCTCAGTAGCTTTGGAGGCTGTCCTGAAACTAATTCTTGTAGACCAGACTGGCCTCGAACTCAGAGATCTGCCCTGCTTCTGCCTCCCAAGTGCTGAAATTGAAGGCGTGCACCACTGCTGTCGGGCTCTTTAACTTTAGCCATAGCACCTGAGTGGGTGTTACTTCTCTTTGCCTGCTGATACTCAAGTATATTATCTGTATATCTGTCACTTGCATCACTTCATAGATACCAAGAGGAAGCTCAGCTGAATCAGATTTCCCATAGTGACAGGCAGGCCAACTACAGCTAGGTACTGTGAGCTCTTTGTACTGTCTGTGGCTGACGGCCCCTCCCTCCTTAATTTCTCACAGGGCCAGCTGCTCCGCACACCTGGCTCCAGAGGCCATGGCTTGCCTCCATGATACCCGAACACCCTCCCCTTCCTTTGGGGGTTTTGTGTCTACTCTAAGTGAGGCTTCCATGCGCAAGCTGGATCCAGACACTTCAGACTGCACCCCAGAGAAGGACCTAACACCTACCCAATGTGTACTTCGAGATGTTGTGCCTCTGGGTGGACAGGGCGGGGGAGGGCCCAGTCCCTCCCCAGGTGGAGAGCCTCCCCCAGAGCCTTTTGCCAATAGTGTCCTGCAGCTACATGAGCAGGATGCAGGTGGGCCAGGGGGAGCCACTGGATCACCTGAGAGTCGAGCATCGAGGGTGCGAGCTGACGAGGTGCGGCTGCAGTGCCAGAGCGGCAGTGGCTTCCTTGAAGGTCTCTTTGGCTGCCTGCGCCCTGTCTGGACAATGATTGGCAAAGCCTACTCCACAGAACACAAGCAACAGCAGGAAGGTAGGCCAGATCCCTCTTCAACAGTGGTTGGGACTTCCCAACCTAATCACTTCCTACCTCATCAGCTTGATTTCCCCTTTACGTGTTTGTTCTAGTGCTGGGATTAAACCAACACTACATGCTAGACACGTGTTTCACTGCACAGCTGAGTCTTCAGCTCTTCATTATCTTCTCCCACTGTGCTGAGGAACCCAACCCAGGCATTTAGGTTTTATGCATGCTAGCCAAGTACTCTACAAATGTGCTACACCCTGGGTCCACCCAGTTTCCTACAAGGCTACCCCAATTATTCCCTTCACTAGTCTTTCGGCCTACATTGTCTCATCACTGACATATGCACCCAACCCTTGAGTGTCTCACAGGGCCTTCAGTGCAGATCTTTCTGAGCCTGTGGCACTATGCCTCCTACCCACAGACCTTTGGGAAGTCCCCTTTGAGGAGATCCTGGACCTGCAATGGGTAGGCTCAGGGGCTCAGGGTGCTGTTTTCCTGGGACGCTTCCATGGGGAGGAAGTGGCTGTGAAGAAGGTTCGAGACCTCAAGGAAACCGACATCAAGCATCTGCGAAAGCTCAAGCACCCCAACATCATCACTTTCAAGTGAGGTCCAGGGCAGGGGCTGGGAACACCGTGCTAAGCCCCAGAACTCCACTCACCTGGGCATGTATCTCCCATTCTCAAAGGAGACCCAAACAAATGGTCTGGGTGGAAATATAGGTCCATAAGGTATCCACACTGAAGTAATCAATGACTTGACCTGTCTGGCCCCCAGGGGTGTTTGCACACAGGCTCCCTGCTACTGCATCCTTATGGAATTCTGCGCCCAAGGTCAGCTATATGAGGTGCTCAGGGCTGGCCGCCCTGTCACTCCTTCCTTGTTGGTGGACTGGTCCATGGGCATCGCTGGTGGCATGAATTACCTGCACCTGCACAAGATCATCCACAGGGACCTTAAATCCCCCAAGTGAGTAAGCGGGCTGAGGTGCATGCAGGTGACCTTCCCCTGGCAGGGACAGCACATTTCAGGTTCTGTCCTAAATTCATCCAAGAAACTTCTTCCAAGCAACAGTCGTTGGAAGAATGTGTTAGGTGTCCCAAACAATATCATAAAGACAGTAACAGCAGTTAAATGGGGTGTGGAGGGACATGGATACTGGCTGACTACCCTCTTTACCAGCATGCTCATCACATACGACGATGTGGTGAAGATCTCAGATTTTGGCACTTCCAAGGAGCTGAGTGACAAGAGCACCAAGATGTCCTTTGCAGGGACAGTGGCCTGGATGGCCCCTGAGGTGATACGCAATGAGCCTGTGTCTGAGAAGGTCGACATCTGGTAAGCACCAGGGTGGTACTTCCAGGATTATACAGATGTCACACAGGACTTGTGGAGGGAACCCTCTGAATGATGTCCTCTCTTGTCTTCAGGTCCTTTGGGGTGGTGCTATGGGAACTACTGACTGGCGAGATTCCCTACAAAGACGTAGACTCCTCAGCCATCATCTGGGGTGTAGGAAGCAACAGTCTCCACCTGCCTGTGCCCTCCAGCTGCCCAGATGGTTTTAAAATTCTGCTTCGCCAGTGCTGGTAAGGATGGCCTGGCTGGCAGACTGGACTGACCAAGTCGAGGAGCTAGAGAGTGACGGAAAGCCAGCACCTAGAACCCAGATATCTAGGCTGAGAATTCATTGCAAAAGCAAGTTCCCTGACCGCTCCAAGGTCCAGGACCCAGAATTGTGAACAGGCGGTCACAGGACTCACTCTGGGAAAGACAGCTCTAGTTCCTTTCTCATCCCTCCCCACCTCTATTCCTTCTAGGAACAGCAAACCACGAAACCGCCCATCATTCCGACAGATCTTGCTGCACCTGGACATCGCTTCTGCCGACGTGCTCTCCACACCCCAGGAGACTTATTTTAAGTCCCAGGTGTGCTGTGGGTGGAAAAACAATGGATGTCTGACCCTTACAAACATGGCAGAGCCTTTGATAGGACAGGAAATCTGACTCAATAGATGAGTTCTCTTAGACAGATGTAGAGGACAGGGTCTGTGAGGTTACAGGGACACAGTAATAGATGAGTTCTCTTAGACAGATGTAGAGGACAGGGTCTGTGAGGTTACAGGGACACAGTCCTCACCCCCTCACCTCATGTCTCTCCATCCCTAGGCAGAGTGGCGGGAAGAAGTAAAACTGCACTTTGAAAAGATTAAGTCAGAAGGGACATGTCTGCACCGCCTAGAAGAGGAGCTGGTGATGCGAAGAAGGGAAGAACTCAGGTATGTGCCTACTCAGTAGGAACCATTTACCACAACCCCAGAGAAGGGGCACCAGGGCAGCTCACTTTGCGACAATCATCTGCCCGTTCAGACATGCCCTGGACATCAGGGAACACTATGAACGGAAGCTGGAGAGAGCCAACAACCTGTACATGGAGCTGAATGCCCTCATGCTGCAGCTAGAACTCAAAGAGAGGGAGCTGCTCAGGTAACTAAGCCCCTTAAACACCTCGTCCCTGGTTTTCACGAAGCTACCCAACTTGGGAGACCTAATGAGGTGTCCGGATCTTTAGGCGAGAGCAGGCTTTGGAAAGGAGATGTCCAGGTCTATTGAAGTCACACCCTTCCCGCGGCCTCCTACATGGAAACACAATGGAGAAGCTCATCAAGAAAAGGAACGTGCCACAGAAACTGTCACCCCACAGTAAAAGGTGACTGAACAGGACTGGCAGAAGGGAAGCTGGCATGGCAGTGTTTGTCTTTAGTGGGGAGGATTTTATAATTGTTGACCTCGACCTTGTCCTTTCCTTCTCCTACCAGGCCAGATATTCTCAAGACAGAATCTTTGCTACCTAAACTAGATGCAGCCCTAAGTGGGGTGGGGCTTCCTGGGTGTCCTAAGGGACCCCCCTCACCAGGAAGGAGTCGTCGTGGCAAGACCCGTCACCGAAAGGCCAGTGCCAAGGGCAGCTGTGGAGACCTGCCTGGGCTTCGAGCAGCTTTGCCACCCCATGAGCCTGGAGGACTAGGAAGCCCAGGGGGCCTAGGAGTGGGCCCTTCAGCTTGGGATGCCTGCCCCCCTGCTCTCCGTGGACTCCACCATGATCTTCTACTGCGAAAGATGTCCTCATCATCCCCAGATCTGCTGTCGGCAGCACTGGGAGCACGAGGCCGAGGGGCCACAGGGGGAGCTCGGGATCCTGGCTCACCTCCTCCACCCCAGGGCGATACTCCTCCAAGTGAGGGATCAGCTCCTGGTTCTACCAGCCCAGATTCACCTGGGGGAGCCAAAGGGGAACCACCTCCACCAGTAGGACCTGGTGAAGGCATGGGGCTGCTGGGAACTGGAAGGGAAGGGACTGCAGGCCGGGGAGGAAGCCGGGCTGGGTCCCAGCACTTGACCCCAGCTGCACTGCTGTACAGGGCTGCTGTGACTCGAAGTCAGGTAAAGTATGGGGCAGTTCCTCCTTTCCCTTTCCTTCTTTAATCTCCCTAGGGGTCCAAGTGCTGTAACCCCACCCAACTATGTAACCTTCCCCAATTCTTAATGACTTTGGTATTTTTGACTGGTTCACACACACACATACACACACCCATCTCTACTGTAGAAACGTGGTATCTCATCTGAAGAGGAGGAAGGAGAGGTAGACAGTGAAGTAGAGCTGCCCCCCAGTCAGAGGTGAGTGCTGGTATAATGGCATCTTTTGCTTTGGGAACTGTAAAGGACAAAAGCTGTAACCTTGCCTCAATGTTTAGGTGGCCTCAGGGCTCGAACATGCGTCAGTCACTCTCTACCTTCAGTTCAGAGAACCCATCAGATGTGGAGGAAGGTACAGCTAGTGAGCCTTCCCCCAGTGGCACACCAGAAGTTGGCAGTACCAACACTGATGAGCGGCCAGATGAAAAGTCTGATGACATGTGCTCCCAGGGCTCAGAAATCCCACTGGACCCACCTGCTTCAGAGGTGGTCCCTGACCCTGAAACCAGCTCCGTGCCCATGCAACAACAGGATCTACTCAGAGGTGAGCAGGTGAGTCACGAGCAAGCGCCAGACACTGCACATGAACTGGGAGCTGGTACCCAGTCATGTGAAAATCTTTAGGGAAGACAGCTGTACAGGCTAGAGATACTTAAGATACTTAGCCTTCAAACCACTTAAGTTTCCAAGCCAGTTTCTTCCATAGAAATGAAAACAAATATCCATATAAATGGAATGAAACCAACAGTTCAGAGCTTCCAGTATTGGTGTCTGATGTTCAACTGGTGAACTATAAACTGCCATCAGCAAAGCATCCCATCCCGAAAAGTCTATCTGGCAAGTGCATTGAAGCACGATCTAAACAACCTATAAGCAGTAAGAGAAAAACCTCCAGTGTTGACTGAGGGCCCTGAAGGAAGCGGCAATGCTCACGGCATTTCTACTCTTCCTCACAGGGCCCCAATCCTGAGGACTCAGACTGTGACAGCACTGAACTGGACAACTCCAACAGCATTGATGCCTTGCGGCCCCCAGCCTCCCTTCCTCCATGAAAGACACTCTTATTCCTTGTATATAGAGAAATATTTATATAAATAATATATATGCGCCACATAATCAACAGATAGACGGGGCTTTCTTAGCCTTAAATCAGGCTTGAGAGTGAAGGAACCCCCCCTTGACCAATTGCAGAATAAGTTCTAGGGACACTGGCAGCTGTGGAAACGAATGATTCCAAGTACTATCCTAGAGCTACGAGGAAAGGAAACCGGTCCCTTCTTGCTTCACCCCATTCCTTATGTTCAGCAAGCGTCTAGGCAATAGAAAAGCCAGGCTTGTCTCTACACTGTCCACCCCTGAACACTGGGGGGGGGGGGGGGGGAGGCAGGAGAGGATCCACTTAAGACTGCACTTTTATTTTCCATTCACTGTTTACACACTTTGCACTTGGGAGGAGGGAAACTAAGGCTGGGTCCTCCCCTCTGAGGTTTCTCAGGTGGCAATGTAACCATTTCTTTGTCCCTGTTTCTCTGCCCAAGCCCTGGCTTAGGGCCCAGAGGCAAGTTAGAAGACTGATAGCATGTGATGGCTCAGGCTGAAGAGCTGGACAACTGGGGTGCTGTTAAAGTCCCTACTATTATCCTGGTGCCTGGTAGGGGTGGGGACTGTCTTACTGTAACCCCTGTGAACAACCCTGAAATATAACCACTCCATGCAGGCCCAGCTGTCGAGGGTTTTCTTGGTGAATGAATGCAATACGTAGTTTAACAATCTTGGATTTAAGAGTTTGTCTGGACAAATTACTTACTACTTTTTCTAACATGTCAAACTTCAACATTCTAAGTTAACTTTTCTAAATTATTTCAGGACGAGAATATAAATGGGTTAAAGAAGGCCAGTTAGATTAAGAATAAGGGGCAGTCACTCCCAACCTTACTGTCAACCATATACACATCTGTATGTATATGTGCGTGCTTTATATGTGTGTGTATACATAATATATATGTGCGTATATATGTACACACACACATCTTCCTGGCCGAGCTGCATAGACACACCTGTTGCTCTACAACCCTAGGATGAACGTATGTAATTGCCATCCATTCCTCATGAACAAATCTTCTAAAGGCCACGCAAAATTATGGCAGGGAAAGACCAAGGACAATTAAACAAAAGAACAACAAAAACAAAACATGGAGTGGTAAAACAGAAGAAAATCTTAATTCTATTCAAACCCAGCCAGGGCTCTGTGAAGGTTAAAGGTATAAAAATAACATCCAGACAGGAATAACACCCACGTAGTCACTGTGGCATCCAGTTTCTATTCACAAAGGAAAAGCTCCAGTCCATCTTTTAATTTTTTTTTTGAAAAATTCCTGACATTACAGAACTAAACTGAAATGTATTAATATTCCACTCTTACATTTCCATGACAAACAAAAATTCATGAGCCAAAAAAACCCCAAAAAAAAGGAAAACGGGGGAGAAGCTTATAAAACTAAATATGGATATCTCAGCGTAACTGCTGAACAGAGAAAGAATTAAAACGCTTTTAATTAAAAAATCATGAGTGGATGATAAAGTGTGTAGAAACTGAAAATTTACAAACTATTTAAAACCTGGAATCGCTGACTGTTCAGAAACTACACAGATGGATCATGGGTGGTGGTGAACAGCAGAAAGGGATTATGGGTGAATCTGCACTGTTCTAGCTGCTCCCCATGCCACCTGTCTCCGAGGAAAGCCTGTAAAACAGAAAGAAGAGTCGGTCAGTTTACCCAGTTACAAGGTCTCTTAAATCAACTGTAACGCGATGTGGTGTGCATGTTAATACCATTCCAACCTAGCATCCTGAGGCTCATTTAACAAAGCACGCCATGTTGGTGACACTGTCTCCTTAAGCTTTACCCTCGGAAACTGCTCTAGTGTTTCTAGAGCTGTAACTCGCATTGTTGTTGGGAGGGAACACAGAAACTGTTTCTTTACTGCTCTGCTCACCCCCTTCACACAACAGTGAGAACACACAACAGTGAGAACACACAACAGTGAGAACACACAACAGTGAGAACACACAACAGTGAGAACACTAGCCTCCAGAAAGATAAATCTCACCTCATGTGTTTACAGCCTATGTAGCTCTCTCAGTGTGAAGGAACTGCTTTGTATTAGGAGCACATTTGAAGACATCACATAACTTTAAGACAACACATAACTTTAGATACTAAAGGGTGTTAAAGGAAAGAACCAAGTAAAGAAACTATAGTAAAGAATTCAGTTATTGTTTTCAAGCTTAGATTTCATTACAAAAATGAATAATACAACAAGCAACAGGGCTCACTCTTCAAAACCCAAAACCTATGGCCTTCTTTCTTACTGTGCCAAATCCTCCTATTAAACATACCTAACTACAGTACCTTTCTACGTCTGTTTTAAATGGGTCATCTGAGGTTCTGGAACCAATTAAACTTTGAAGGAAAGGCATTCAGTATACTTCACTGAAATTAGGTAGGCAGCAAAATACCTCATTTTGAAGCTAACTAAAAGTCTCAGTTCCACACCATAAGCTCAACTTCACTAAGAGGTGATTGACATCTAATAGGTGTTTGAGTAACACACTATTGCACTAAAGTACGAATACAACAAAGGGGGATTGTCCCAGAAACCAGAAAGGTCATCCTTCACTTAAAGACTGTTTTCATTAAAGTCAGAAATGAATGTGCCTAAACATTAAAAACATATGTGAGATCTCCAAAGCAAGGGTCAGGCTTGCTAAGTACACTCATAGGTGAAATTCAATATAAAGGGAACTATTTCATTCTTTGAAAAGTAAGAGGGGCTACAGATATGGCTCAGTGAGTTCCCTGATGAAGCAAATGCCAGAAGTGGCAGTGCACACCTGTAATCTGGGATGCTTGCTGAGTATATAATCTAGTCAGTGAGTCCCAGGTTCAAAAGATCTCATCTCAAAAAATAAGTTGGAGAATGAGGAAAACAAACATGTTTTGACTTCCATTCACCCACATACAAGTCCCATATGTATCCACATACATGATACACACACAAAACAGGAATACATGGGCTGTGGAGATGGCTCAGTGGATACAGTGTTTGTCATACAAGCATGAAGACCTGACTTTAACGCTCCCTAAACAGTAACAGATAGTCCAGGGCATCTGTAGTCCCAGCACACCTAGGACAGATCAGAAGCTGAGAAAGGACAATCCCTAGAAGCTAGAAAGTCAGCTGTTAGCAGGATAAAAAAAGACCATCTCAAACAGGGTGGAAGACAACCACTTGTGCTCCACGGCACACATGCACCTACACACAGCACACGGGCCCAACAACAACAACATGGACACAAATACAGCAGATTCTTATCAATCTCAAAATAAGATGACCCTAGGACAAGATAAACAATGAGCTTTAGGGACCCAAGAGACAGTTAAGGGGTAGAAGCCCTTATTACTCTTACAGGGACCTGGATTTGGTTCACAATGTCACTTGGTGGCTCACATTGTCTGTGACTCCAGTTTTATAGGATCCAACATTTTCAAGTGCCCGAGGGCCCTGCACACATATAATGCACATGCATACACACATAAAACACACATCAAATAAGTAAAACAACCTTTGAATGATAGAGCTTTTGTAGGTAACAGAGGTTCCATGGAACTGGTTAGTTTAAATCTAGTAACTTAAACAAAAATCCCTACCATATAGGGTGGAAGAACGGTGGCCACATATAAGCAGCTCAACAACTGTCCAGCACGCACTATAAAGCCTAAAAATTTATAAAGGGCAAGATGCAGAGGGGAGCACAGAAGAGAAATCTCAACCAGAAACACATCTGACTCATGACAGTCAAGTCCCCTGAATATCTGGATTCCCATCCCAGCAATTCTTTATTGGGGATATCTGTTAGATATCAGCCAGGCACCTTTAATACCAACACTTGGGAGGCAGAGGCAGGTGGATCTCTTTGAGTTCAAGGCCAGCCTGGTCTACAGACGAGTTCTAGAACAGCCAGGAGCTGTTACACAGAGACACCCTGTCTCAAAAAACAAAAGGAAAAAAAAAATACAAAAAAACAACATCAACAAAAAACCGAAAAATAAAAAAAAAAACAACAACACAACAAGCAAAACAAAAACAGAATCTTTCCAACAGACAAGATAAAGTTAAAAATGAAATCCCTATGGAGATAGTTATCAGCATAGTAATGTCTGAACTATAGAGTTGGACCACTCAGCATAGGACACAGCTATCACCCTGACCCAGGGTACGTTGAACACAAACATGTAAGGTCATCCTAACACTGAAAGGTAATGTAGTACGCAAGAACAGCCACGTCTTTCTGCTGTTGTTCAATATCACTCTAGGCTGGGAAAGGCCATCAGAAAAAAAAATAAATCTACATGGAAACCTTCACAGTAAAGAAAACTCACAATATGTCCATGGGTTGACAAGAGAATCAAATGGCCTTCTCACCATATGGGATACATTGCTCTTCCGTTTTTTGTTCTCCAATGCAAGAGAATAAACCCAGCAAATATTGTACCACTGCTTTCAATCCACAGCCCCAGCACATCATTTTCCTCTTTTGTGGAAAATACTTGTAGCTCATCTTGATTAAAAAAAAAAAAAAAAAAAAA